TAAACTCAACTAAAAGGCCTTTTGTTATTCCACACATACACACCCGTTCCACGCCTCCCACTGTTCTTCTGCAACAATTCTCTGACACACAAGGTGAGTCACCCAGATTTATGAGGGAATTTTGAAACACATGTCAGAAGAGCATGAAGAGGAGGCGGGAAAGAGAATTTTTTTTTTTTTTAGAAAGGTGTTTTTACTGAAGGTGGGAAATACTTGAAAGCTTTTCTTTTGGACTGTAATGGCAAGGAAATGCAGTCTTGAGTTCTGAGCGCTCTTTTTCTGCTGGATTCTTCTTGATAACCCCTGCCTCCCAAACCGTGTGTCTTGTTTTCCTTTCCCCACCTCATCCCTTCTTCCTTTTGTGCTGTCCCCTTTAGGCAGTGGCGCTTTTAGGGCAGAGAGGTCCACGGCTCCACTCAGCAGAATGAGCAGACGCGTCCCCCAACACAACAGGGCTTGCTCACCACCATTTTGAAGCAAGTACAGTGGTACCTCGGCTTAAGTACTTAATTCATTCCGGAGGTCCGTTCTTAACCTGAAACTGTTCTTAACCTGAAGCACCACTTTAGCTAATGGAGCTCCTGCTGCCGCTGCGCCACCGGAGCACAATTTCTGTTCTCATCCTGAAGCAAAGTTCTTAACCTGAAGCACTATTTCTGGGTTAGCGGAGTCTGTAACCTGAAGCGTATGTAACCTGAGGTACTACTGTAATACACGTTGCCCTCTAAAGAAGATGCATTATCTCCAGAGTCCCATATAATCGACCTGACGCAACCCTTTTCCACTGGAGGGCAGAGTAAAAATATTTTGAAACAAAGATACCCCACATTTGCAAGTGCAAATCCACATCTGACTTATCCCAGATCAGGGAGCAATTGGAAAAGGAGAGCAAGTAAAAAGAACTGACCTTTCCCCTTGCTGATTAAAAAATCTTGCTGCAAATTCACTAGTTCTCTATTTATGTCGCGCTCCCCACAATTTATTTGTAGGGATGTTTATGACCGAAAAAATAGAGCACCCGAAGAGGCGTATTGTGAAACTCAAAACGGAAAATAGCACCGCCCCAAAATAGCAAGGGAGTGTCCTAAAGTAATCAAAACCAAAGCAAATTGAACGAAGCGAGAAGCCATTGACCCAGGAGGGAACACACACAAAACCCAAATGGATTGTTTTAGATTAGGCGATTCTCCTGCATACATATAACCGAAAGGAAGGTTTGCTATGTTGCAGCCTAGCTGTACAGTTCCCTAGACCAGTGTTTCCCAACCTTGGGCCTCCAGCTGTTTTTGGACTACAACTCCCATCATCCCTAGCTAGCAAGACCAGTGGTCAGGGATGATGGGAATTGTAGTTCAAAAACAGCTGGAGGCCCAAGGTTGGGAAACACTGCCCTAGACAACAATAGTAGCACCTGCTAAGGATCGGGGCCAGGGTGTCTATATTGGTTCCAAGCAGCTTGAGAGCAAATGTTGCCTTCTGTCTGATTTCCATCTTTCTCTGCCATTTCCCAAGGCTTCTTCCAGAGCCGCCTCGTTTTTCTTTCTGCAGTTCTCTTTTGTGTAATCACAATGAAAGTGGAGAGGCAAGGAATAGCTTCAGTTTCATTGTTTAGCTCCTTTTCTTTTGTATTACTTCGCGCGCACACACCTTTGAGCTGCTCCCTTCTCTCTTGTATGCTTACCTTTATACGTGACAAAAGCTGTAAGGGAAAAATGGGGGGGCGATGCATGCCGTGTGGTATGTGAAATAAATCAACAATTTATCTCCAATATGAATTGCTCATCGCCAGCAGCAGAAAGGGGCAGAGTATGTGGATCTGCCACCCTACCTTAAAGGTGAAGGTAAAGGGACCCCTGACCATTAGGTCCAGTTGTGACCGACTCTGGGGTTGCGGCGCTCATCTCGCTTTATTGGCCGAGGGAGCCGGCGTACAGCTTCCGGGTCACGTGGCCAGCATGACTAAGCCGCTTCTGGCGAACCAGAGCAGCGCACGGAAACGCCGTTTACCTTCCCACCGGAGTGGTACCTATTTATCTACTTGCACTTTGATGTGCTTTTGAACTGCTAGGTGGGCAGGAGCAGGGACCGAACAACAGGAGCTCACCCCATCGCTCGGATTCGAACCGCTGACCTTCCGATCGGCAAGTCCTAAGCTCTGTGGTTTAACCCGCAGCACCACCCGTGTCCCCTGCCTTACCCGAGAGTAAACCCTGGACATAAAACTTGAGTTGACATGCACAGGATCGCACCGAAGACCAAGCCTCTTTAAAGGAAAGGAAGTTGGGGACATTAATAGATTCTTTTTGGGGAGAGAGAAGGGGCTGTTGCTAGCCTAGGTGAAGGATTTCTAACCTCCAAGGCTGTGTCATTTCAGAAGGCAGATTTGGGATTGCAGGACTGGAGAGTTCAGCTGGTTAGAGCGTCGTGCTAAAAATGCCAAGGGTGCTGGTTCAATCCGCATACGGGGCAGCTGCATATTCCTGCATTGCAGGGGGTTGGACTAGATGATCCTCAGGGTCCCTTCCAATGCTACAATTCTAGGATTCTCTCACTTAAAGCAAAAACCAGAACCGTATTCCATGCACTTAGAAAAGTAGATCATCAGGGAGTAGCCAAGGCTGAAACCGGAGCAATCAAGTACGTAATACCCCAACCAAAAATTGACCTCCATTCTGAAGTGGTACAGTCCCAGCTTAATAGGGCTGTACCATGTGATTTTTATAAACATGCACTGGACCTGAATTAAATACTGTTTGGGTGCTGACAAAATGAGATCAGCTTCAGGTTCTCCTTTGCACAACTTCCACTATCCTTTTTGCCTATAATTATGTGCCAATCAAAAATTGTGTGTTTTAAATACAATTTTTTAGTGAATTTTATGAACTGCCCAATTCTCTGCAGCCATTTTCATTTTTCTCCCAGTTTTGGGGAGGGGGTGACTAGAATCGACACCAAGAAGGCTCAGGGTCACTCCTTCCATTGCCCACTGCTATGTATGCAGGAGGTTTGGTTAACTTCTGGAGACGGTGCAATGCCTACAGACCAACACTGTGTAGGTCTGAGCAGCTGCAAACTCCCAAGTTCACCCGGACTGACATATTTAACGGACAGCTCCAGAAAATAACCCCAGAGCCTTTATTACTTACCACAAATGTTATGTGCAGGTACTGCTTTATGACAACTCCAGCAATACTGAACGAATGACACTCTTATCTTGATGGCAACCCCAGGAACATCTGTTGCAGCTAAATGTGGACCCCTAGGCCATTCTCTTGCCCTCAGGACCCTCCCTTAGGTCCTGACCTATCCCCAGGTAACAACCCCTACCAGAACCTTTTGCATCCCCTCAAGTGTTTAACTGGGACACTGCCTATTTGACGCCTATATCTGCAGGTGTAGAAACCTCTCGATTATTTGCATGGTTGGAATGTAGCCAGCAAAGGTTAAGTGTCACGTTCTTCCTCCACCCACTTTTGTCTCTGGCTCCGCCCACCTCCACATGTGGCCCCTTCCTATGTGGTGACGTGGCCCACAGCTTGAAAATGTTCTCCATCCTTGATCTCCCAGAAAAAAAAGAAAAAAAACACCACTCTTCTGGGGACTTTCCACAGGCTTCCTGAACTTCAAATGGCTTGAGGGATATATTCTTTCCTGAAATAAATGGGTAGGCATGATTCATTCTTGCACTTGTGCAAGAGTAACCTATGTGGACCTAAGGAAAACTAAGGAGTAGATGGAGCCCTTGCCTTTGAAAATGGTTAAGCGCCAAAGCAGTGCCCTAGCTTGCTGGATCTCCTCAGAAACACTCCAGCAAATCCTTTTTATCATTCCAGTAGTGTTTAGTTCTGCGTGCCACAGTTTAAGAAGGATATTGACGAGCTGGAAAATGTGCAGAGGAGGGCGACCAAAATGATCAAGGGTCTAGAAACCAAGGCTTAGGAGGAACAGTTTAATTACTCCTTGAATTTTAAAAAAGCCTCTTTAAATATATATATTTTTAAGGCTCAAGTTTGCAGCCTTTCTGCCTAGGAAATGTACTGCACCTCCATTATTCCATTATCATTTTGGTTGCCCTCTCCTGCAGCTCTAAAATATCCTTGGTTCAGGTACCGCAACCAGAATTGCATATTGCATTCCAAGAACTGACCGCGTCACAGATTTGTATAATGGCATTAGGAGTCTTATTTCCGATCCCTTACACCACCTGATATTTGACGATAGTTTTAATCTGTACTCAGTGAGATTTGCTGCTTTTTGGTTTCCCTTTGGAAGATCAAGTGAGCTCCAAGTCTCTGAAAACAAAACATTTATTTTGAGCAAAAACAGTGCCAAAAGGCTCTAGAAAGTTACACTTTTCTAAATGAACACTGAAGTTTTGCTAATATGGCTCTTAAGGCCTCTGCAAGACCTCCGATAAAAACGTCTTGCTTGCCAGTTTCAACGTGTGCATCCTTCATTCACTGTTCTGTAAATTGATCCCAGTTCAACAACTTGCCTCTAACAGCAACTTAACCAAAAGCAATTTAGCGGGTGTTAAATTTGATTAACGTAGGGCTTCTTCAAGCATTTGGCAATAATGGGAATCGAACAACTTGGTTCTAAGTAAGGGAAATAAATGGACATGGGAAAGAAGAGGTGGCTTCTTGCTCTACTACGCAGAACAAGCCATTAACACGTCACCATGCAGCAAAGGGCCTACCCTTCCAAAAATCCTTTTTTTACGTACATGATACATTCCTCTCGCCGACATGCAAAATTAAGCTAATCGCAGCGAGTACTGCAATTTATCTTGGGGTTTCATCCGATGTCTTTCATGTTGAGTTCAAATATTGTAGGACTTCCTTCCCCCTTTCCTATGGCATTAATACTGGATTAACCTGTAAGGCTAGGAACAGGTAGTTTTGGCACCTGATGCAGAAAATTCAGCCAAGCCACTTAAACAGCAGGTCCCTTGCACCTTTTCCTCGGTGCTCAGAATCCGCTACAGTACTTGTGTAAGCCTATCATAGAAAACTGTTTTGTTTATTCTGCTCCAGAGCCATCTCATTCACAAGCTGCTCGATGGACGACTGGATGGCCGCCTTCACAAGTGAGGCGGCCGTTTCAATCAGAAGCACCTCGTATTGTTCTGAAGCCCAGGGCTCCTGGTCACTGGCACCCAAAGGCGGCTGGTCCTGCGGACACGTCTTGCCTTCCCTCCCTGACCTGGAATCGGGGCCTTTGCTGGTCTTCTTCTTTGCTTTCTGTTTGCTGGCTTGCGGAAAGGAAAACGTTTCGCAGCTATAGCTGAGTTCCTCTTCCTCTTCCTCCTGGAAGGCCTCCGCTTCTGTGATCATGATCACAATGCCCGCCCCAGGCATCGCAAGCTTGTTTTCGTCGGATTCCGCTTCCTGGACAGGACAATTTGGCTCCTGTGAAGCCTCGTCTTCGGACACAGGCTGACTGCAATGCAGCATCACTTCAACCGAATCGCCTTCCTTGGCACCGTCCATCTCCGGCACAGCATCCTCCCCAGATTGTTCCAACTCAGCCTCTTTGGCAGGCGAGTTCTTGGAGTCTTCTCCTTCCAAGACGTTGGGTTGGCTTTCTGGCAGGTCCTGGGCAAGCAGTGAGCCCACCTCTCCCTCAAAATCAAACCTCTCGTTTCTCCCTTCTTCAGGTTCCCCATAGAGGCTTCCGTGATGCAGCTGGAAGAGTTGCTTCTCCTGTTCTGTTTCCAGGACTGTTTCGGAGTGGATGATTTCTGACTGAGCCGTAAAGTCTGTGTATTGGTCGGGACCGGGACTCATCTCTGAAAAAGCGTCCTCTCGCCTGGCTGGAGCCACCTCTTCAGAGTTGTTTACAACCCCCCTGTTGCCCTCGTTTTCAAGGGCACCGCTGGGGGACTGGTCAGCGTTCAGAGGACCTTCCACAGACACAGACTCCGGTTCACTGTTCCTTTTGTTATCCAGAATGCTCGCCCCTTCGCTGGCTTTCTCGCCGTGATCCCCCTCCTCTGTTATTTCAGGCTGGCAGGACTTCTTGCTTCTACAGAACCTTAGGCAGGGAATTTTATGGTTTGAGCTGGTGCGCTCCTTTGCGCCAGAATTTTCCACATTCGCCTCCAGCTGCACACGGGAACCAGACTGCGCTTGTTTCTTCAAAGCGGATTTGGACCTCCTCCTCAGTGTCACAAGCCGCTTGAAGGACAACCAGGCCCCTCCGGACGTCCACGATAGATCTGAAGCCTCCATTTGACTTTGGCCAGAGTTGGAGAGCTGGTTTGTAGCCTTTCGGATTACAGATTCACGATCCTCGTCTTTCTCTGTTGCGTAGGGCTTCTTCCTTTTCTTAAAGCAAATCGCGGAGGCCTTTTGGGCCGGGCTCTCGTGTGGAAGGAAAGGCTTTTCCGCATTTGAGGCTTCTGGTTCTTGCATACTCTCTGTCTGAATTTCTTTCGTTGCATCCTCCATTCTTAAATCCCTGTCCCTTAGCTATCGTTTCAGAGGAAAGACATCCTTATGGCAGATCCACGCCACAAACGTATCAGTTTTATAGCAGTTGTGAATACTTGGAATTGTAGTTTGGGAAGTGTATTGACAAAATCTTTAGAACCACAATTCCCTGCAGAGAGGAGACGACTGTTGAGATCCTTTGCATCTGCAGCAATGATATGCTGTTATCAAACTCAACAAACCATCCCTTGAGATGTCTTCTCACGACCTCAAGATGACCTATCTATTTTATTCTATTTTTTACAAAAACATCTTTCGATGGACACCTGAAGGCAGGTTTCTCTTTCGCTTAGTGTTTTTGTTTTTTAAAAGAGTGAGGTTTTTCTTTTTTTGACAGCAGGGTGTTTTGACCCCCCTCCGTGTCTCTTACTGAAGAACTCTCTGCCCGACGCCTCTGAGCATCAATTTTAATCATCTCTCGGTGCGATGGGCGATACTCTTTCATCAGAAGCGTGGCGCTTTAATAGTTTAAAATAGATTTTGGATAATCACAGAGACTGGCCCTGCTCCATTAACGACAGCCCCGGGAGACAACATCCACTTGCAGATATACTTGCCTTTTCCCAATCAGGGGTTTTGCATGCAAGCGACTACAAAGAAGGCCATCTTCATAAACTGGTTCAGGGAGAGGCATCCCTGTGTCCTTCCAAGTCTGCTAATTATTGCCTTTTGGTCCATTTTCCAATTAGCATCCCTCGGGTAATAAAACGCAACGACTTTCCTCATTGATGGGATTGCTTTGTGGGCACCTGCAAGGGGGGGGGAGAGAGAGAAATGGGGGAAAGTAATATTGCACTGTACTCAGGGTGCCCACACAAATTAATGCTCCAAAAAAATCAGATTGCTTTGCAGGGAGAAGTGCTTTATTTTATTTTTATTTTATTTTTAACCACCTCTGAAGGCAGGTATTGGGTTTGACTGTAGGGGCCCCAAGTTTACATCTCTATTGAATATAGCCGTAAACAGAAAATACAGTGGAGGAGAGCAGTGTTAGAAACTCAGATATACAGTTGTACCTTGGAAGTCGAATGGAAACCGTTGCGGAAGTTCATTCGACTTCTAAAACGTTCGGAAACCGAAGTGCGGCTTCTGATTGGCGGCAGGAAGCTTCTGCAGCGATTCAGAAGCCGCGGAAGACCCCGTCAGATGTTTGGTTTCCAAAAATAGTTCGCAAACCAGAATAGTTACTTCCAGGTTTGCGACGCCCGGGAGCCAAAACGTTTTGAGAACGAAGCTGTTCGAAAACCAAGGTACAACTGTATAAGCAAGGCATCAAAAGGCATTAAACCAAAGTTACAGTGGCCAAAATGGAATGTCCAGTTGCCATTTTGATGATCAGTTAAACATCTGCCTAGTTCAGATGACTTATCTTGTGGAGAATTGCTTCGAACCCAGACTCCAGCTTCCAACAGATATAAAAACATAATAAAGCATAAAACCTTAAAAACTCTCCTATACAAGGCTGCCTTCAGATGTCTTCTAAAAGTCACATACAGTAGACCCTCTAGTTAAGGACTGCTCTGGATACATAACTTTCGGGTTACGAATGCTGAAAACCCGGAAGTGTATACTTCCACGTTTTGCCGTGCGCACATGCGCTCTGCGCATCGCGCGCACAGAAGTGGCGCTTCTGCCTACGGACTTTTCGGGATGCAGACGGACCCCCAGAACAAATTTAATTCGTATCTGGTGGGTCCACTGTATTCGTTTATCTGTTTTATATTTGACAGAAGGGCCTTTCACAAGGCGGGTGCCACTACCGAGAAGGCCCTCTGTAGCAGAGAGGACGAGTCATCCCCACCATCAACAAACTCCTGAAGAAAGCTCAGGTTCTGCAAAAATATATATGCCCTGGTGCCGTGGACAGGAAGGGTAGTCTACTTCGTGGGAACCCAAGCCCCATTTGCGACACAAACGTCATATAGGCGCTTTCTTGCTAGCACCCACGGCTTTCTGCTTCTGCGCTGCAGGAGGGGTGCTTATTTATAGTCTTGCCTTCCCTTTCCATAGCAACTGCAGCATAAATCGCCAAGCACATGTCTTCAGCATTTCGCGGGCGCTACCTACGGGCGAAGCCCTTCAACCGCAAATGCCATTGTGATACAGTGGTACCTTGGGTTACATACGCTTCAGGTTACATACACTTCAGGTTACAGACTCCGCTAACCCAGAAATAGTGCTTCAGATTAAGAACTTTGCTTCAGGATGAGAACAGAAATCGCATGGCGGCGGCAGCGGGAGGCCCCATTAGCTAAAGTAGTGCTTCAGTTTAAGAACAGTTTCAGGTTAAGAACAGACCTCCGGAATGAATTAAGTACCCCAAGGTACCACTGTACTTCTAAAAGTGGGTGGAAGGAAGGAGGGAGAGTTTTCCGCAGAGAACCAAGATTCGCAGCAAAGCCTCAAGCTCATCCCAAACATCCGATTACTCTAAGAGCATTTCGTTGAGATCACTGTGCCCTTACAAATAATTCGTGATAGCAACAGTACAGTGGTGCCTCGCAAGACGAAATTAATTCATTCCGCGAGTTTTGTCGTCTTGCGATTTTTTTCGTCTTGCGAAGCACGGTGTCGGGAAAGTTTTGGAAAAGCTTCAAAAATCACCAAAGTCTTTAAAAACCTCAAAAAAGGCTACCACACCGCGTTCTATGAGTTGCTCCTCAAAGTCAAGTCGCAACTGTATTAACGGTGTTAAGAAAAAGGAAACAAACTTGCAAGACGTTTCCGTCTTGCGAAGCAAGCCCATAGGGAAAATCGTCTTGCGAAGCAACTCAAAAAACAAAAAAACCTTTCGTCTAGCGAGTTTTTTGTCTTGCGAGGCATTCGTCTTGCGAGGTACCACTGTACAGGCTTCTCCCCACTTGTGCGGAGGGTTAGATTCCCGGGTTCTGCATGTATACATGAAATGGAAACACCATTGGGTTCAGTGGTGGGTGGAATCAAATAATAACAATTCCCGGATGCCCAACCCATCCCCCCTTTTCATTTTTTATTATTATTTTTAAAAATTGCAAGGACATTGCAAGAGGAAAAGTCACTCTTAAAAAAAAAGGTAAAAGACTTCTGGGAAAAAAATTATAATGAATTTTTTAAAAATGATGAAATATACATTTATGAAGAAGCCAGAGGCCTTTCTCCTTGGAATAATAGGTTCTGAATTGCCCAAAAGAGATGTAAAAGTATTTTTGTATGCCACAACTGCTGCACAGATTTCAATAGCCAAAAAAATGGAAAACACAAGAATTACCAAAGGTAGAAGAATGGCAGATGAAGATGATGGACTTTATGGAGCTGGCTGATCTCACCGGGAGAATCTGCGACCAGAAATAAGAGGAATATCAAGAAGACTGGAAGAAATTTAAAGACTATTTGAATAAATATTGTAATATTAAAGATTTGTAATTACTTGAAAGAACTAATTAGGCCTAGGGTTAAATTAGGATTAAATAAATAAATAAGAAACAGAAGGATAAGAAAAGTTAGGAATTTGATTATATGGACTAATGATATTGGAAACTGCTACATTCAATTACAAGGAAATTCAGTTGGAAGAGATTAGAGGAAGTCAAGTCATATGTTTATGAAGTTGGAGTTTAACTAGTTAATTTTTAAGTCTTATTGTATTTTTGTATGTGGTGGTATATGGGAGGTTTGTAATATTTAATTTTCTCTATTATCTTTTTTCTTTTCTTTTATTATTGTTTTTTTCTTTTTCTGTTGTGTTTAAGTTATGTCTTTGTATGAAATTTAATAAATATTATTGGGGGGGACTTTTTAAATCATAGAACTGTAGAGTTGGAAGTAATCTCAAGCCGCCATCTAGTCCAACCTCCTGGAATGCAGGAATAAAGGGAGCTAAGCCTTTGGTATACCCACCTCAAACGCTGGTTTAGAGCAGCTGTTTTAACAGCTGTCTAACAGCCAGAGGACCCCTGGCCCACTGGCAGAACACATGCTTGGCATGTAGAGTACCTCAGCTTCCACACCTGGCGCCTATGGGAGCTGTTGAAGCTCAACATCAAAAAAACGAAGATCATGGCCACTGGGCCCATCACCTCCTGGCAAATAGAAGGGGAAGAAATGGAGGCAGTGAGAGATTTTACTTTCTTGGGCTCCATGATCCTTGCAGATGGTGACAGAAGTCACGAAATTAAAAGACGCCTGCTCCTTGGGAGAAAGGCGATGGCAAACCTAGATAGCATCTTAAAAAGCAGAGACATCACCTTGCCAACAAAGGTCCGTATAGTTAAAGCTATGGTTCTCCCAGTAGTGATGTATGGAAGTGAGAGCTGGACCATAAAGAAGGCTGATCGCCAAAGAATTGATGCTTTTGAATTCTGGTGCTGGAGGAGACTCTTGAGAGTCCCATGGACTGCAAGAAGATCCAACCTATCCATACTTAAGGAAATCAGCCCTGAGTGCTCACTGGAAGGACAGATCCTGAAGCTGAGGCTCCAAGACTTTGGCCACCTCATGAGAAGAGAAGACTCCCTGGAAAAGACCCTGATGTTGGGAAAGATGGAGGGCACAAGGAGAAGCAGACGACAGAGGACGAGATGGTGGGACAGTGTTCTCGAAGCTACCAGCATGAGTTTGACCAAACTGTGGGAGGCAGTGGAAGACAGGAGTGTCTGGCATGCTCTGGTCCAGGGGGTCACGAAGAGTCGGACACGACTAAACAACAACAATGTTAAGTACCTCCACCCATTCTACACGACCACTGGAGAAGTTCTTTGCATGTGTTGATCGGAACTCGGTACACGGAGCCAGCTGCAAAAAAAAAAGCAGCCAGCGGCAGAGAAGAAAGCCAGAGGACAGAATGAAGCCATATAGCGCAAAGAACATTTTTAGCAGTCCTTGCACTGAGAGAAAGGGGGAGTTGCAGTGACAGCCATTATCGTGTATTTTTCTGCAAGCACAACCCCAGGGTGAAAGAAATGTTAGTCAATCCTACAACCTCCTTATCTGATTACATTGGTATTTATTTGCAAATGAATGAACAATAGTTCGGAAGGTGTTTTTTTTTTAGAAAGGGGTATTGAAAACAGTTAAAACAAATTACAGTCACAGGAATAGGGTGGAAACACCTGTCACAGGTGTTAAAGGCCAGGATAAAAAATGATTTCCACCTGTCACATCAAGTTCCACTGAAAGCATTATTTCCTCTATTCAAGAAAAAGGGGGGCGGGGGCATTCTAAGCAGCTACCTGCCAGGCACCACAATATATAAAAAAAACTGACACCCGGTTAAGCCAGATAACCTTTTAAATCAATTAGCCAAACCCTGCAAAACACAAGCTGCCTTGTGCATTTCTAATGTATATAACAGCATGCAAATTTGATTTGCATAAATCTGACGCCGCTCACAAGAGCGACAAGCCCCGACAAGGTAGTTTCTGTACTGCAAACCTAGCATTTTTGCAGGAATCCATTAAGCGGGATTTTTAAATTTTATTTTAAAGATACATCGTAAAGGTAGCCCCGGATACCTGCAGTCAGAACTGCTGACTCTCGATTCACAGAAAGTGTGCCAGTCTACAATTCCACCTGTTCTTCAGACAAAGGACTGAAGCTGCCAGCACTGACTCCGGGAACCAGCAAGACCTTTCCAAACCACCGTGCAAGAGGTCCCCGAGGCACCCATTCTACAGACAAGTCACTGAGGCCGAGAAGGAACCCTTTGCCCCAAGGGACCATGCTCAGGTTGGCCGCGTGAAGATTTGCACATCTCCCTTTTGCAAAATTTGTATGCCGCTTAATCGTCGAGCTCTCTAACAAGCGGCTTACGCGGAGGTCCAGCCCTGGGCTATGCACCGCTCTCTCTTTTTTAATCACTCCCCCACCCCCCCATACTGCCTATCATTTAAGGGGAACCTGCAACTACCTGCACCTCGTTGTTGCTGGCGCTCAGGCGATCCTCATCCCGGCTGCGGAGCCTGGGAGCGGGCGCGCCTTGCAGCTTCGAGGGGCGCCTCTCTTTGCAGAGCAAGCGGGCGCGCTGCCCTTGTGCAGCTGCAAAAGCCTCGCGCTTGCAAGGCGCCCGGCGCGCACATCCCCACCGCCAAGCCCCCAGCGCGCACGCTGCTGCTGCTGCTGCTGCACGCCTCCGCGGCTCTGCCCGCCGCGCGCTCCCCCTCGTTGCACCGGTGGGGGCTGCCTGCGGCTGCTCGCCCGTCCCGTCCCTCTTGCTCCCGGGCCGCCGTGCGCGATGCACCCCCGGACATTTGCTGCAGCTGCTGCCCGCTGGATTCCGCGCTTGCTGCCTCGGTGCTCGCCTGCCTGGCCGCCCGCTCCGGATCTGCATCCCTCTCCCGCCTTGGCAATGTGCAACCGCTTCCCCGGGGCGATCGCTTGCCCCGCCAGGCTCACCTTGCGCTCCGGCCGCCGCGCCTCGCCCGCGCTGCCGTCCTGCCTGCCCGCCGCTCGCACTCCTCTCCTGCCGCGGCGCCGCCGAGATCCGCCCACTGGACGACCGCAGGGAGGGGAGAGGAGGCGGGGAGCCGTCCTTCGGGCGCCCCCTCGGCGCGCCACGGCGAAGCTCCCCGCCCAGGATCGGGCAAATGCAGGAGGAAAAGTGTCGCCCACCCCCGGCCCTTAATTCGGATTTACAGACGCCGGGTCGGCTCCCCCGCCAAGAAACTAGCGTATAGGTGACGAACCAGACCTACGTGCCCTGGAAACATGCAGGTGTCGCTGCTGCGTGGCAAGATGGAAACGTTTCCCATAACGCATGTCCTGCAAACGCGCGCTTCTCTTACGCATAGTGCAGCAAGGGCGCAGGTTCACACGTTCGCACGCGCGTCGGTAGTTTTCTCTGAGGCCGCTGGAGGGAAGTGCTGTGTGTCCCTTTGAAGCTCCCATGTGGCTCTCCAGGGTCTGGGCGGAGAGCCTTCCCCATCGTCTCATACCGGATCCTTTGTAAAAAAAGCAAAACTATTTCTTCCAAGGATCGAAGCTGACACCTTCTCCACGCAGAGATAGCGCCTTCCCCTTCCCTCAAACATGGGGGTGTTTGTGATGGTTCAGGGTAGCATGAGCACTGCCTCCCTTGTGTCAGAGCAATGATTCACATCTACAAGTTACCTTCTTTTCATCAACTGGCAGACACGAATGTGTGAACCAGCCTTTATACTGCAGCCAGGTTACTACAATATTCATTCAATTTATATACCTCCCTTTATCCAAAGGTCCCAGGGCCGTGTACAACATTAAGAACACAATTTACTCAGCATAATAATGAAAACATAACACACAGCATAATAATCATGTAATCATATAATAAGAGTCTCTCGCGCGTTTAACAGGCCATAGATTATTCAGTAACCAAAGGCCTGGGTATTTTCACCTTTCTGGGGAGAATGTTCCATAGTTGGGGAGCCACTGCAGAAAAGGCCCCGTCTCATGCTGCCACCCTCCAGACCTCTCAAGGAGGTGGGGATATAGAGATTACAAACTCAGTGTTCGGGTTGGTTCAAATGGAGACAGACGTTCCTTAAGGTATTGAGCTCCTGAGCTGTGTAAGTCTTTATAGGTCAAAACCAGCGCTTTGAACTGGGCCCGGAAACTAATTGGCAGCCAGTGCTCTATCCCATGACCGCCCACTGTATTTGTTTGAGACAAGTCTGGGTACCTGTCCTGTTATTCTTCACCTCCAGGCGTTTTTCCACACCTGCAGTGGTGCCCTCTTGATTTTGCAGACTACCGACAGCCACCAGAATCCTTGTCTACTGGGCATGCTGGCAGGGGCTGATGGGGTTTGTAGTCCTCAACATCTGGACAACATCAGACTGGAGGAGGCTGGTTTAGAACATCCTTGAGGTCAAGGATGCAGAGACTGTGGCCCTGCAGGTGTTGTGGGACTCCAACTCCCATCTGCTCCAACCAGGAAGCCCCGGTGACCAGGGCTAATGGGAGATGCGACTTACACAAGCGTCTGGGGATTCTGATGGGGTGTTTATGAACAAGAGGCACATTGTCAGCCTGGGAAGGTAGCCCATCTAGGAGAAGGAAGACTCTGATCCTAAACCTCCGCTGCCTTGGGGGGCATATTGGAGAGAAGAAAAGGCTAAGGATTAAACCCTCCACAAATCCAGAATGGAATCCCTAAGATGGATGGATGGTGCCTTATGTGTCTCCTTCCTGCAACGCCTACAGCCAAGCTGGTGCCAAACATACTGCTCTGCTTTCCTTTGGACCACATCAGGGGTGCTGAGAGGCAGGTCTTGTCCTCTGGGCAGCTCAGGACTCCCTAAATATACACTGCCCAGGCTTGCGCCCCAAACTGGTGCTCCTAACGCAGCAGTTTGACTTCACCCCCCAAGGCACACTCCATTGTCAACAACACAAGAAGCCCTGCTGGATCTGGCTAAAGGTTAATATTGTTTTATAGCATGGGTAGGCAAACTAAGGCCCAGGGGCCGGATCTGGCCCGTGGACAGTCCGGGAATCAGCGTGTTTTTACATGAGTAGAATGTGTCCTTTTATTTAAAATGCATCTCTGGGTTATTTGTGGGGCATAGAAATTTGTTAATTCCCCCCCCCCCCAATATAGTCCGGCCCCTGACAAGGTCTGAGGGACCGTGGACTGGCCCCCTGCTGAAAAAGTTTGCTGACCCCTGTGTTATAGATTATAAATGCTGAACTGATTTGTTAATAATATAATATGGCTTAGTGTTTAAGTTGTTGCTTTGTGCTTTATAAGATTGCAATTGTTTTACTGATGATTTAGTTTATTCTGTATTTGTGACGTTCTGTTATATTCTAGCTAGCATGTTATTGTTATTTATTGCTTGTAAGCCACTTTGAGACCCATTTGAATGGAAAACGGCATATAAATGTAGTAAATCGAATCACCACCAACTGGCATTCAGAGTCTTCCTTCCTCTCACACGGGAGATAGAACGCTGCCATCTTGGCTTAGGCCTTTATGCTCATGCAGTAGCAGCTGGTCCAGTCTGAACGTTATCAAAGGAATCCAATTTGTCTTGGCTGTCTTCCTGCACATGGGAAACGAGTATAAGAGGCCAGGCCTGCACAGATGCAGCCAGTGATTGCAATACTAATGTCTTCAGACTGGTTGATATGCTATGGGTTCCCCCACCATTGCAAGTCACGCAAACATTGGGGATGCATTCCAGATTAAACCCTTTAATGAAAACACCAGCTTTATCAAGCTGAATGCCAAAGTCGGCCATTCAGCAGTGCGATCCTAGCCTGAAGGAAGAGAATATTTTGTAGAATCACAGACTTGTAGAGGTAGAAGGGACCCCAAGAGTCATCTATTCCAACCCCCTGCAATGCAGGAAATGTGGGGTGTTAAGTTGTGGGCGAACATATCAGACGACACAGCGATTCTTCCAAAGCAGCTCTTTATTTGTAAGCTGGAACAGAACTGAACTGAGGAGCTCAGTCAGCCTGCTTATATAGAGCTCCAGAACAATGTAACTGTTGCAACTTTCTAAAACTATCCAATCACTGGATGTCACTTTCGATCCTTCATTTGCATACAAACGATCCAATCACTGAACGTCACTTTCGATCCTTCATTTGCATAACTATCTACAGTATCCCCCTGCTGGCCCAGGGTGAGACTTCAGTACATAACATGGGGTATCTGGAGATGGGACTTCATTCTATGAAGCAGGGAGGGGGAGCCTATGGCATTCCACCAACGGCTGTTGGACTCCCAACTCCCATCATCCCCAGCCAGTGTGGCCAATAGCCATGTACAATGGGAGTTGTAGTCCAGCATAATCCAGAAGCCTATGGGATCCCTTTCTCTGAAGAAGTACTGCTACCAGATTTGACTTCTGTTAGTTTTTCTGTTTAGCACACCACCTTAAATTAACCCCCACTTTCTTTATGTTAAGATTGCCTTGATTCTCCATAACACGAAACCCTTATAATCTAGCTTTTCTGCTGGTAGCCTGCACCTGACGAGGAGGCTCTGTTTTGGCCTGGAGAAAGAATTCATGAACTTCTTTGGTGATCACTCATAACCAAGTAAGATTGTGATATGGTCTTAACAGTGTGTCTGTAAGTGACTGTAGAGGCCAATTCTGGATCCGCATATCCTTCCACAGTGAGGACATAGGTTTCCAGGCAGGAGTTGATCACAGTGAGGGTTTGCCAAGTGTGCCTTCCTCTTATCGCGTCTTTGGTAGAGGCTATTCTCCAACTGGAGGCCAGTGTTTCCCAATTATCCATGCTTATACTGCATTTTTAAGGATTTGCCTTGAGAGCGTCTTTAAACCTATTTTGTTCACTGGCATTTCGTTTTCCATCCTTAAGTTTGGAATCGAGTAGTTGCTCTGGAAGATGATAATCAGGCATCCGAAAAAATGACCAGTCCAACAAAGTTGATGTTGAAAAATCATTGCCTTGACACTGGTGGTCTTTGCTTCTTCCAGTGCATTTGTTCACCTGTCTTCCCAAGTGATGTGTACAATTTTTCGGAAACACCATTGATGGAATCTTTCAAGGAGTTGGAGATGGCGTTTTTAAGTGGTCCATGTTTCACAAGCGCACATTAAGATTGGTAGGACAATAGCTTTGTAAACAAGCATTTTGGTTTCCCTGTGAATGTCCCTGTCCTCAAACACTCTGCACTTCCATCAGGAGAATGCTGCTCTCCCAGAGCTCAGATGATGGTGGATTTGGGCATCCATGTCAGCCCTTGTAGAAAGAGAACTGCCTCTGTAGGAAAAATGATCAACGTTTTGCAGGGAAATGGGCAGACGACATTCTTAGCAACCTGAGTTGCAACCATACCTGGTAAATACATTGATCGTTCCTTAACTGTAAATCTCTGCCATTCGCCTTACTTTTAATATGTATGATAGGTTGTCTGTCTTTATTATTATTTTACCACTGATGTTCTGTAATGTGTTTTTAATGTTGTACACCGCCCTGGAATCTTCTGAAAAAGGGCGGTATATAAATTGAATAAATAATAATTATAATAAATTAATAAATTATACACAGAGAGATA